GAGTTCATGATGACTGTGTACCTGAGTGGGTGACAAATGGCTGCATAGCGGTCATAGGCCATTACAGCAAGCAGGAAATTTTCAAAACCAAAAAAAGCTGTAATGAAGAAAATCTGGTTGAGACAGCCTATATATGTGATGCTGTGATTTTGTGTCTGGATATTGACAAGCATCTTTGGGATGGTAGTTGTGCTCAAACAGATATCATTTAAGGAGAGATTGGAGAGAAAAAAGTACATGGGGTTGTGCAGGTTGGAGTCAGAGCTGACAGCCAGGATTATGAGTAGATTCCCGAGGACAGTGACCAGGTACATGATTAGAAACAGCCTAAATATGAGGGGCTGCATTTCTTGATCTTCTGACATTCCCAGTAGAATGAATTCTGAAATAATTGTTTGGTTTCTGGTTTCTATATTGTTGATGAATCTAATAGAAAGATGGGGTGACAAAATAATCAAATGTATGGTCTCCATATTAGCAAACAACAGTAGCACTGAAGACATACATTGTGTTTTGATAAGGTAGTACAGTAATATAGAGAATGAAAAATGAGTTTTCTTCTCCATGATAAATATTTGGCTATTTAAAAAAGGAAAATAAATAAATAAATGAGTGAAGATTATACAGCATATTCGCAACACTTAATTATCCTGAAAAAGTTTGTGATGTTAATTTTTAATTTACAGTATGTAAGGCTTTATGATGATATAAACTATGTAGAAGTTTTATAAATATAAATAGACTTAAGAAGAAGCTTTATGTCTCAGTCTGTATTTCTATGCCTTCCTCAGACAGCAGGCTATACAATTTACAATTCTATGCCTTCCTCAGTCAGCAAGCTATACAATTTACATACATATCTACTAACAACTGTGAGGTGAATAAAAAAGAATCCACACTCCAGTTATCTTTAAAATATTATTGGCTGCACTGTCTTCAGCACTTTTCTTTCAAGATCAATTCTATGAAGGTGGGAACGTGGAAATCTACAAACAAAATTCATCATGATAATCCTAGTGACCAGGTTTGGAATGGAAGTATTCTTGAATGCTCACGAAGAAAACTTTCAAATTCAATGATCAGCAGTAAAATAAAAAAATAAATAAAATGATGCTTGCATTTTTCTGGGACTCTCAAGTGACTGCTAAAAGAACAGACACATTTATGTAGGAAAAAATACAGCAAGACTGCTCCTTAAAGTTAGTATAACCAGACCTCATCTCTCATACTTCAGATAATGTTATCAGGAATGACTAATCCCTTAGGAAAGATAGTATTCTTGGTAATGTGGAGGTTCAGCAATAAAAGAAGACCCCCAACTAAATGGATTGAGACAGAGGAGCAGCAATGGGCTCATGGGTATTAACAAATGTGAGGCTGGTGCAGGACGGGGCAGGGTTTTGTTACATTTTGCAAAAGATCACTGTGAGTTGTTACTGACTTATTGGAACCTAACAGCAACTACAACAACAAGGGACAGTGTTGGAACACTCTCAGGGAAAAGGTTCAACAATATGCAGTGCTCCTTACAATGAGATTCTCACTGAAGAGCTGAAACCTAAACTTCAAACTAAAGCAGAGGACTGCTATCCTAGTCTTTGTGATCTTGCATGTACAATACACATTCTCATATCTCTGTTCACACTGTTGACACTCTGCCAAAACCCTTGTTTGGAAGTCTTAACATACGCAACCACAGTTCTGATCTTGCTCCTTCAGACTTTCACCAACTGACCCTGTGAAAATAGCCCTTCAAAGACAAAAGTTAACTTCTAATGAAGAAGTGAAGACAGCAGTGCACTCATGGCTATGTTGTTGTTGTTATGTGCCGTGGGATTGGTTCTGACCATAGAGACCTTGTACAAGGTTTCCAAGGCTGTAAATCTGTACAGGAACAGAAAGCCTCATCTTTCTCTCGCAGAACAGCTGACAGTTTCGAATTGCTGACCATGGGATTCACAGCGCGATTAGTAAACACTATGCTACCAGAGCTCCTTAAATCAACCTCAAATATTTTAAAATAAGGTAATACGTAAGCTTGTTGACAGATGAATAAAGTGTACTGAAAAGAAAGGAGGTTATGTTGAAAAATGATATATTTGTCTTTCCTAACTGTTGATCAAATTAAATTCTACAGCCAGACTACAAATATTTTAAATAAGATTATTTAAAATAATCTTGTAGATTATTTTAAATGAAACTGAACCCTCCTCCACCATCAGCCAGAGAATCTAATACAAGTCATGTTTGTAAGGTTGTTTCTCAATAGGAATATCACTCTTGCAATTGTAGAGACAATGCAGGAGACCAACTGATCAACAGCTCTTTAATACAGCTGCAAACATGTAAGGAAACCTACCAAGAAATTGACAGACAAGGACGATTCCCATAGGAGACTTAGTTCCATCAGTTGTGGCATGTACTTTCTTCATATACATCAGTTTTCTGTTGTATCTCTAATTTTAAAAAAGGAAAAAAAATCCTGTCCTTTCTAAATATTAACTAGGGGGTTTTGGTTACCTTGCTGACATTTCTGTTGAATGATGTCTGATATCTGTGCTGCATGTAGACACCAGAAGGTCTGTACTCAGCCAGGACAGCGGGCCTCAGGGAAGCTGAAGGTTTCTGGTCAAAACACCTCATCTCTTGGATATTGTTTTCTGTTATAACTCCTTTTACGGGAAGGGAGCTGAAGTGAGATGCTATAGGCAGACTATTTGCAGTCACTTTATCCCTGGAGGCTCAATATCCAAAGCTCCTTATTAGCCAATGCATTCATTTTCAATCTGGTCATCAGCCCAATGAGTAACCCATTAACATCTCCAGGGCTCTGTGCTGATTGCAGGGCTCTGTGCTGTTGTAAGGTGCCATTGAGTAGGAACCACCTCATAGCGACCCCATGCACAGCAGAACGAAACAATGTCCAATCCTGGCCCAACCTTACTACTGCTGCCACACTTGACGCCATCAATGACGACACCTGGCTGATACGTTTCATTGGAGGTCTTCTTCTTTTTCTCTGACCCTCCATCTTACCCAGCATGACATCCTTCTCCAGTGACTGTTGCCTCCTGACAACATGTCCAAAGTATGAGAAACGAAGTTTAGCCATCTTGGCTTCCAAGGAGCACGCTGGTTGCACTTCTTCCAAAACGGATCTATTAGTTCTTTTAGCAATCCATGGCACTTTTAGTATTCTCCTCCAACACCACACTTCAAAGGCATCACTTCTTCTACGATCTTCCTTATTCACTGTCCAGCTTTCGCATCCATATGAGCTTATTGAAAATACCATGGTTTGGGTCATGCGCACCTTAGTCCTCAAGGTGACATCTTTGCTCTTCAACACTTTAAAAAGTTCCTGTGCAACAGATTTGCCTAATGCAATATGTCTTCTGATCTCTTGATTGCTGCTTCTGCGAATGTTGATAGTTGATCCAAGAAGAATGAAGTCCTTGACAACTTTAATCTCTTCTCCATTGATAAGAATGTTGTTTATTGGTCCAGTGGTGAGGATTTTTGTTTTCTTGACATTGAGATGCAATCCATATCAAAGTCTATGTTCTTTGATCTTCATCAGTAAATGTTTCACATCCTCTTCACTTTCAGCAAGCAAGGCTATATCACCAGCATATCGCAGGTTGTTAATGAGTCTTCCCCCATCCTGACGCAATGATTTCTTCATAGAATCCAGCCTCTCGTATTATTGGCTCAGCATACAGGTTGAATAAATATGGTGAAAGAACACAACTTTGTGCACACCTTTCCCAATTTTAAAACATTCAGTGTTACAATGCTCTGTTCAAACCACTGCTTCTTGGTCCTGGTACATATTCCTCCGAAGTACAATGAAGTGTTCTGGAATACTCATACTTCTTAATGTTGTCCATAGCTTGTCATGATCCACACAATCGAAAGCCTTTGTGTAATCAATATAGCACAGATAAACATCTTTCTGATATTCTCTGCTTTCAGCCAAGATCCATCGGACATCAGCATTGATATCTCTCGTTCCATGACCTCTTCGGAATCTAGCTTGAACCTCTGGAAGTTCTCTGACAATGTATGATTGTAGCCGTTTCTGTATTACCTTTAGCAAAACTTTACTCGCTTGAGGTATCAAAGAGATTGTAAAAATCTTACAAGCCCCAAATTTTAGATTGTGAAATTCAGTATTATTGGTAACCTGTCCCTGCAAGCCCAGCGCCATGCCATTTGTTTCTCTTTAACTCTTTCTTCTCACCTTGATGTTACATATCTTGTACACCATTATTTACCTTTTGAATTCCAGTCTTTCCTTCATAGCAACAAGCAGACATCTCTAACTAACCAATTGTATCAAGAAACTCATATCCAATATTAGGCATGGAACTACAGTTGAAATGTGTAAATATAAAAATGTGTACATTGAAAGTTAATATATTGCAAAAATGCAAACCCAGCAGTAATTTTTCCCTAAGACTCATTGATTAGTTCTTGATGATTAATCTGTATTCCATATATTTTATCAAACATGTTCTGTGCTTTTATCTGCTCAATTCTCACTGCGTTCAATACAGACAGTCCTGTTACTTCCTACATAGAATTGTATACCACCTTTCCCAACTTCTTCAAATTAGTTTAACATGTACTTTCCCTTACGTTGTGAGAATGTGGGTTTTATTTATATGTCTTTTGACTTATCCTAGAATTGTCAGGTATTACAATATAACACCAAAGAATTGGCATGCAGTTAATCCATTGTTGTTTTTCACAAACCCGTGGTGACCCAACTGATGATTTTAGATGACTGGATTAGTCACCATGCTTTGGATGGATAGCCCAGTGTTTGAATATCTTACACTACTACATGGAGTTTACCCATGTTTTCAGTAAATTTTGTTATATTTTAATGAAAATATAATATGTGAAGATGAATTTTCATGAGAATATTCACTTTAAAGCTAGTTTGTTTGCTTGATTTTTAATTCAACCTTTCCATGTGTTATCAACAAATGTCTGCATTCTTACTATATGATTGTACATAAACTTATTTAATCTATAGTGACTAATTTAATAAAATCAACACAAGACAAATTAGGATGGTTTTTGCTGTTTGGTGCCTCACAGTCAGTTCTGACTCAGAGAGATTCTATGCACAATAGAACAAAGCAATGCCTGGTCCTTTGTGATCCTGACAATTATTAACAGTTGACTCTTTGTTGCTACCACTTTGCCAATCCATCTCATTGGAAGGCTATGGCTTTTTACTAACCCTCTACTTTAGAAAGTATGATGTCCTTCTCCAATGTTCACATTATGAGTGA